GATCAGGCCGCAGAAGATCCCGTATCATGGCTGCTCCAGCACATCGCGGCCAGCGATTTCGGCAATACATCCATGGACTCGTTCCACGCGTCGGAGGATAGCCAGGACGACATCGATATCCAGGATCGAGACGGCACGATACCATCAGGCGACTCGGCCCAGCGTGACCGCGACAGTGAGCCTCACTCTGGGCTCGCCCCGTGGCAACGCAGTGCGCCCCACACCTCAGATCAGGTCGACCCTTCTGCGCGGCCTAACGACGCTGAAGGTGCCACTGCCGCTGATGTGACTAGCCATCCCACTGCTTCGCCAGCTCATGCCAGGCCGTGCAGTGGCGGCTTCAGCCCCGCTGCACCACTGGCTAGACCTGGACATCCCCAGACCGCAGGAGGTGACAACGTGACTGACTCCAACCCTAGTGCCATCGACCACTGGAAGGCCGACATCGACAACGACTCCATCGATGATGAACACTCAGATGCCAGCGGTCCCCACGAGCCCCAGCACAGCTCAGCGGCATCACGACATTGTGGCTGCCTCATCTGCCTCCTGGTGGCCACGTACGCCATCGCGATAGCAATGCCGTACAAGGACCAGGTCGATGGATACTTGCCGACCCCGAGCCGAGACCCCAGCTACCGACAACGACGACGACGCCAAGCGACCGCAGCATGCCCATCGGCGTCCACTATATTCCGACGCAAAACGACATACTATGTCACGTCCACATTGAGGGCCACTCTCAAATGGACCAGCGACAAACTCAGAGATGGTGTCTCGGGCGGAGCCACTGCAGTCGGGGTCGGCTTCGGGGGCGTCCTTAAATGGGCCAGCGGCAAGCTAGGGGCTATAGCCACGGGTGGAGTTGTGTGTGGTCTTCCACTCGTCGGTGCCAAACTTCTTGCCCAGGGAGCTGTCGGACACGTAGGCGCCCGCATACGTGCGCGGGCCCTGGACTCATCCACTGCCCAGTGGTGCCTCCGCTGTTGCCAACCGAGCAGGAGGCCGAAGGACGAGGCCACACACAAAAGGCCGCGCACGCTCGCCGACGATCACGACGACCAGCAGGTGCACGCACTCCGACATCCGCTGCTACAGGAACACTACGCCGCAGCTGTTGCCGCCGCAGTCGCCGACGTCACCACCGCCACCACCGCCGCCATCGTTGAAGTCACAGCCGCCGTATCGCGAGCCTCGTCTGTCACACCAAGATCGACCAGCCCGACGCCACGAGACGGCTCCAAGAACGGCACGACATTCGGTAACCTACCGACCAACGAGGATGCCACAGCACACGGCAGCGACACCGAGCCAAGGGAAACGAGGGAACGCACCCATGGCAGCCCGTGGTCCATATTCCGACATGCCGACGCTCGTGGTTCCTCCCCCTCCCCCGACGCGGACACCCAACCACCACGACGGCGAGCACGCTATGCATCACCTGACAGGCCCCAGGCGTCTTCAGGCCCTGGTACGCCTTACACTGCCCTCAAGCCACCGACACGCAACTCACGCAACACCATCCAGCGTGACCCAGCGGTCCCCGAGCCGCCGAAGAGCATACTTAAAGCCCTGTACCAAAACGGCTTCGCGCTAGGGAACAGTGGCGTGTCCACTGAGGACATCAAAGACGCTCTACGACTCCACGACCACCCTCGATTCACTCACGACCCAACACTCCAAGTGCTGGGGCCGTGGGCGGACATCATGCAGAGGCCACCGAACCGCCTCACTTGGGTGCTGGAAGACTCGGGCGGCAACTCGGGCGAGACAATTTTCCCATACCTCACGTGGGACCTCCGCCAACCCACCACCGACGCGCCCACTGTCTTCTGGCATGGGACCCGCGGCGACCTTGCGGCCCGTCTTGCTGCCAGTGGAGGGCACCTCTTGCCAGGTCCCCGTCGTGAAGCGAAGGGCCGAACTGGCACCAACGTTGGCCGCACGTACGCGAGCGTGCACCCTTCGCTGGCCGCGTGGTACGCAATGCCGCCCCACCCGCCCTACAGCCTTGAAGACGACACCCTCGCGTGGGGACCCATCGCACTCTGGATGTGCGAAGCCACCCAACCACCGCGGGGGGAAAACAGGCACAACTACGTGAAAGGGGAGGCCCACGGAGCGCGCCTCATTTACCCTCGGGTCCTGAGCCTCCTCATCCGCATGGACTGGTGCGCCCCCGCAGAAGCTGCTTCCAGGTGCCGTGCCCTCCCACACGCCTATGGCATGGGTGACTGCGCGCACGCCCTCCACATTGCTGGCTACGATCATCCAGATCTCCGTGAGGCGGCTGAAGCTCACGACCAGGAAGCTAGCACCAGGCGCAGATCAACCATCGCGGCAGCATGGACACCACCGCAGGCGCTATACTCGCCAGAAGCGGCGCGAGCATGGGCCAAACAGCACTACGACACGGAAGCAGCCACCAGGGACGACCCTAATCAGCCTCGACCACGCGTCTCGCTCCACATACTCCCGCTGGACCCGAAACCACTCATCGACCTGGTG